TTATGAGTCCTTGGTTTCATTGTGAAGAGAGACAGCTGGCAATCCTCTAGTGTTTGCAGTTGAATTCTAGTTGGCAGAGGGAATCCAGCGGATTTCAGATATGATGACTATTCATTTCTTTGTGACCACATTACACATTGCTGGAGGGAATGAGATTTCAGCTTGGCAGAATGAGTTGCTTTAATTGGTTACTCCCTAGCAAGCTGCCAAGAGCATTCCTATTTTTGTTCCTGAGGAGCCGTATAAGATTTTAAGAAGTTTTGAGATTTGAGAGAGTGAATAAAAAGTGCCAGTTAGAGAAGACTGGCAGAGAGTAGGCAGTCCAATATTTTCCCATAACATTCATTCAATGACAGTTTGAGTCCAGAAAGTGAGGAAAGGGGGCTTTCAGTCCTACCATGATCATAGTAATAGTTATCATAATCATGATTTCACTGGCCTTCATCATGATTCGATGTTTCACTCCATCTATGCCAACTGGTTTATATAAAAACATGGAAATAAAGTCTGTATTGACATTTTCTCCTTTTCTCTGATATATATTTGAAGTCCTATTGATAAAGCATGAAAAATGGATTATAACTATAATGATAAATTGTGATAAAAGTAGCAATCTGTGAGTCAGGGTGAACTCTGGTGCCTTCGTGAACATAATTATGTAACAGAAGTGGTTGATACATTGAGTTCTCCTTCTCCTCTTGCCTTTCCCCCCCTCCCCTTCTCCCTCCCTCCCTCCCTCCCTTCCCCCCCCCCAATGTTCCCTGGTGGTTTTCTCAAAATATCAGCAAGACCCGAACCAATTGGGTCTCCAAACCTGAATCAGATTGATTCTACCCTCCACCTTCCTTGCTGAGGAAGTGGCAATAATAAACTATCGATCGTATAAAAAATCCTCTTTTTACCCTTGGGAATCTATTGTAGATTAGGCTGATTATTTCTAATTTTGACCTTGCGTGACTGCATTCAGACATGGGTGGGTAATTTATGCTTTCAAAGTAAATAACAATATTTAGCATATTCTCTGCATTTAGTTACAGTTAGCTATTTGCATTTTGCCATTTAATAGGATGGAGATGCATATGATGGCCTATTTTATTAATGTCTAAGTGTAACATTCAGACAATTTCAATATCCTTTTTGGCAGAGAATGCTGAAAATCTATTTTCTCTGGTATACTGAATGACTCTTCAAATTATGCCTCTTCACTAAAAAGCTCATATTTTCCGTGAATGTTCATCCTAAATTTAGTGATACATTTAATTCAGTGGTATCCGTGTGACATTTCAAAAAAGAACATCTATGGATAGGTTAATGATAAGTTAGTGAAACTGAATAGATTCAAAATCATTGTATGTTAAATTTATTTGCTACCCATTTTGCTGTGGGGCTACTCTGGGCATCTTACAAACAGTAAAATGGAAAAAATAATAAATGTAAGTGCAACAATGGTAAAATAATGAAACAATAAAAATAAACAAGGAAAGAAAAATTATATGAAATAAAAGATGGGCAGAAGGGGAGCAGAAAGCATATAGCAGGGGTGTCAAACTGCCGGCCCGCGGGCCAGACACGTCATCTGGAAACCGCGCCCACCCCATTGCCGGCAATGGCAAAACCATCCCGATATGTTGCGCAATGTCACGTGACATCGCGAGTTTGACATGTCTGGGATATAGGATCAACTGATTAGTCCAGTAGTCACCTCCAATGTGGTGGTCCCCTATTCGGTCCCCAGGCCAACTGGCAGAGCCAGGTCTTCAGAATCTTGCAAAAGATTAGGAGGGTAGGGGCAAATCTCACCCAGGAGGGCAGCATGTTGCAAGGGGGACAGTGCTACAGCAGAGAAGGTTTTTTTTTTCCTAGATTCCACCAGCCAGTGTTCCTTAACTGACAAGATCTGGTGTAGGTCTCCTCTGGCAGCATGAGAAGGGTGAGCTTGTTTTAGCAGGAAGAGACAGTTCACTAAGTAATCTGGACCCATGCCATGGAGGTTTTTAAAAGTTGTAACCAACACCCTGAGCTGCATCCAGAAGCAAATTCGCAGCCAGCAGTGGTGTATCATGAGCCATTCTACGGGTTCCAAAGACTGCTTATGCTGCCTCACTTTGTACTAGTTGAAGTTTCTGAATGCATTTCAAGAGTAGCCCCATGTAAAGCATATTGCAGTAATCCAGATGACAAATGACTAGGAAGCTCCGTGCACCCAAAGCCACTTGGTCTTGCCAGGGTTCAGTTGTAGCCTGTTTTATTAGTGATTACTTATATTGTTCTGTCCCCCCCCCAAACCTCACAGAGTTTATGCATAGAGTTTATATTGGGGGATGAAGTAGGATCTTCCAAATGACTGCTCAAAAGAGGCAGTAGCAAATAAATTCACCTCCAAGAATCCAAGAGGCTCAGCCTTCCAGAGGCATCTGTTCTGAACTAAGATGATGCAAAAAGATACAAGCTCTGCCCCTTTGTACATGCATTTCAAGACCACAGAGAAGCTGTCAAAGAGAATTTGTGTTGCAGTTCTGCAACATACATTTCATCACTTGCTTCTCCCCAATTAGTGGATACCATGCCTACATATGATATAATTAGCACAAACATCATATGTCACATTTTAGAAACATTTTATCGAGAGCAACCAGACTAGCGGATACCTGGTTTCGAATAGTCATGTTACATTTTTTCCTTTTAAAAGGTATTCTCCTTTTCTATAACAAAACAATGCTTATTCAATGTTATATGGCAGAAACAAGTACAGTTTTAATCTCAGAGTAATTATAGAATGCCATGTTATCATAGGTTAAAATGTAAAACTACACATTCAGAATTATTTGGGAGGGAGTTGTTTCTGTTGTTATTCTGCAATATAAAAGCAATTACGAAACACGGAAAAGTTAGCTGTTTACTTCACAACTGAAGTAATAAACACATGGCAATTTGACCATTGATTATGTTCTAAAAACATACAACTATGTTCTAATACAGATAGTCCTCAACTTATAACAGTTTGTTTAGTTACTGTTCAAAGTTACAACGGCGCTGAAAAAAGTGACTTATGACCATTTTTCACAATTACGGCCTTTGCAGCAACCCCATAATCATGTGATTAAAATTCAGAGGCTTGGCAACTGACTCATTCTTCGGTTTTGCAAATTTTATTAATTTTCAAATAAACATATAAACAAATAATACAAATGTGGTGCATTTCATTAAAAAACAAAAAGGAAAACCTAGTCAATATATTTTCAGAAATGATCGGCAGTCCCCCCCCCCCGCATCCACCCTCACTCCTTCAACCTTCCTACCTTCCCTCTTCCTTCCTCCCCTCCTACCCACACCTCTCTCCTCCTTCCTCCTTTCCAACTATCCTACACATCCCATCACCTTCTTTTCCACATCCTTCGGATGCAGTTTAGGGGTACTAGCCGATCATCTCCTCTTCCCAAAAAAGGAAAAACCATTACATTATTTTTCTATAATATATAACTACACCAAATTTACAACTGACTCATTCTTATGACTATTGCTGTGTCGCAAGGTCATATGATCACCTTTTGTAACCTTCTGACAAGCAAAGTCAATGGGGAAGCCAGATTCACTTAACAACCAGGTTACTAACTTATCAACTATAGTGATTCACTTAACAGCTGTGGCAAAAAATGTCGTAAAATGGGGCAAAACTCACTTAACAAATGTCTCACTTAACAATAGAAATTTTGGGCTCCATTGTGGTCATAAGTCAAGGACTACCTGTATTATCCAACTGCTTCACTACTTGAAAGGGGGAGTGTTCTTATTGTTACCTTATCAGACCGCTTTAAAAAGGTATGAAACTGTGATTTCTGTTCAAATCCTGTGAAAACTGTGAAACTCTTTATTCAGGTAGAGGGTGCCCCTAGAGAGCCAATTAAATATGCCAATGGGGTAGTCCTTACCCAGGAAATGAAACCACAGGCAGGGCACTTTCAAGGGCAAAGCAGTGGCCAATTTTAGTACAGGTAGTCTCGACTTATGACCACAATTTCTGTTAAATGAGACATTTTTTAAGTGAGTTCTGCCCCATTTTACTACTTTTCTTTCCACAGCTGTTAAGTGAACCACTGCTGTCGATATGTTAGTAACCCGGTTGTTAAGTGAATCTGTTTTTCCCCATTGACTTTGCTTGTCAGAAGGTTGCAAAAGGGGATCATGTGACCCCGAGACACAGCAAAGATCATAAATATGAACCAGTGGCCAAGCCTCTGAATTTTGATCACATGATCGTGGGGATGCTGCAAAGGTCATAACTATGAAAAATGGTCTTAAGTCACATTTTTCAAGGCCGTTGTAACTTGGAACAGCCAGTAAACAGACTTGCAAGTCGAGGAAAACCCGTATTTTAAAGACCAGCTGATACCAAAATACGCCCCACAATGTGTTGCGAGGGCTTATCCTAAGAAGAACGGGAGGTGGGGATTCGAGGGTGATTGTTGCCTATTCAAATAAAAAAACATGCAGGCTCTAGTAAATGACGTGGGCTGCTTTTGAAGTTGCCAAAAACTGGCTTTTTCAGTTTTTATTATTTTAAACCTGTGCCTAAAATAAAGCCCAGCGCGGGAGGAAGGGGGGGGGGAATCTGAGGCTCTGAAGAGGCAGTGCCTAGAGGGGCCGAGGTGAGACGCGGGAGTGACAGACGGTGGGCGTGACTGGGAAGAGGATCTAAAAGGGGGGAGCAGCTGTCTGCGCCTGCTTCCCTCTCCCACCGCCCCCTCCCCTTCTGCGCTATTTTCCTCGCGTGGCGAACAAGCGGGGAATCCCATGCAAAATGCAAAAGCCACCGGAGACCCCCAATCTCCCTCCGCGGCAGCAGAAATAGCCCCTCGCCCTCGCTCCCTCCCTCCCGGAGCCGGCGAGGAAAGAGGCGGCCTCCTCCGGCGCTTCCCAGCAGCTTGAGGGTTACTATGGCGACCCCGGCAGCTGCTCCTTGAGGCCTGTTTGTTGCCTTTTGGTCACGGCATAAAGCAAGAAAAGGCGGGCGCCAATTATATGCCGGGGCTGGGGGGCGAGGGTGCGGCAGAAGGGAGCTACAGAGGAGTAGGCCTCCCCAGGGCAGCTGTCCGTTCCTCGCACCACTCCGCGGAGTAAGTTGTGAGAAAGGAGGAGGTGGAGGACATGGGGATGGGAGGAGGAATGGAGGCTTAAGGCGGCTAGAGAGCGCAAGCGAAATCTCAGGGCGTCGGGAAAAACGATGTGCTGCCTTATTGTGCCTCAATACGAATGTAAAGCATAAACCAAAACGGATGCTAAAGATTAGAAAGCCAACGAAAAGAGGGATTATTAGCTTTTTTTTTTCTCCTCCGGGCTCTGCCATCGACGCCGTGGGAGCTTCACGGGATAGGGTTATGTCCAACCTGGGAGTAACTTAACAAAAAGAAAAGTGATTTACCGCAGGGAAAATCGCAGACTTTCATTTGGCGACTGCAAAAGAGTCGGCTAGCAAGAGTCGTGCAGAATTAATTGGTTTGCCTTGCTGGGTGGGAGGGAGAGGGCCTGAGGTCCCATCCAGATTCCTGAGGCCTGTTTGTTGACTTTGACATAAAGAAAAGGTGACAAGAGGCAGGTGACTTAGGACAGAAATTCAGGCCAAGCACACTGATTGCCAAGCAATTGTGGCTGGCATGGTGCATATACGCATGCAGAGTAGTATATGCACCTTCAGCTTTCTTGTCAAAATTTCAGAAGTGGCTTGCCATTGTCTCCTTTTTAGGGCTGAGAGAGAATGATTGGCTCAAGGTCACCCAGCTGGCTTGTGCCTAAACTAGGGCTAGAACCTTAACCCAGTGGTTCTCAACCTGTGGGTCGGGACCCCATTTGGGGTCAATCGACCATTTCACGGGGGTCGCCAAGCAAGGATGTCTGCCATTTTTTTTTGTCCGCCATTTTTTCCCCCTTTTCCGGCGGGTGCCTTACCTCCCTTGGGCTGGGCCAGCTGGTGGTCGGCCTGCTCCGTCTCTGCCGCTTGCCAGCTACGCCTCGGCCGGCGCAGGGGGCGGAACCACGCATGCGCGGCGCTCCCGGGCAGGGAAAGTCCTCGACTTACGACCGGTTGGGTAGTCCTCGACTTACGCCCGGTTTAGTCCTCGACTTATGACCGGTTTAGTCCTCGACTTACGACCGGTTGGGGTCGCGGCATTAAAAAGGTTGAGAACCACTGCCTTAACCATTATATCAAACTGGCTAAATGTAATGATGACATATAACTGATTGCGTAAAAGTGAAGAGACCAACGGTAATAATAAAAAGAGCAACTTTAGAATTCAAGTCTGGCATGCCTTTTTTTCTGATAGTATTGAAATGAACAAAAAAGAGACAGTTGGATCTAATGGTTAAGGCCCCAGACTGAAAACCTGGAGTCTTAGATTCTAGTCTTCTTTTAGACATGAAAGCAAAGTCACCCAGTGTCAATTTACAATGTCAAGCTCAATTAACAAGCCAGTCAGACAATTCTTGTCACAACAAATGGATCAACACTGGATCTGAAAAAAAGAACCTCTTGTGGGAAGATGGTAAGAAGAAAAAAGATCAAATCAACAAAAACATACTATAACTTTGGATATCTCACTGATCTTGAAAGTAAGGGATGTTTGATGCTGATGTTGCTGTACAAGAGTTTATAATTTGCCATCATTCCCAATCCCTCCTCTGACGTCTGAGTAAATATTTTCAGAAATGAGAAGCCAAGATTGTACGTATCTTTTACCCTAGCATCCCTAGATATAATCCTGTAAACTGTGTAGTATGCCAAAGTGTATAATCCAATTAAATTGGCAATCTCCAAACATTTCAGATGATGAATAATACAGATTTTACAGATTAGTATCCTAGGATAAAAATGCATAAACAAACAGACTATAGCATGAGGTTTCCTATGCATCATTAGAAGGAAAATTGATGAGAATTTATCTTTTAAACATCTAACATCCATTGCTTGTACTGTGAATGAAATCAGCAAAAAAAAAAGTAAATTAAGTGACTGAGGTAAGGAATTTTATTATAGAACATGCATGATAGAAAAAGACGCTTTGAGTGGGTGGAATGAAGAAAAAGTTACGGTTCTGTGATGGAAGCACTTGGAAAACAGCAGTGCTGTTCTGAAGTGAGAGTTCTGAAGTAGAGACTAAAGGAAATAATTACATGGATGGCAAGAAGACTACAGATAGTCCTTGTTTAGTGACTGCCTTCTACACTGACTGTTCGCAATTATGATGCTGATGAAAAAGTAATGTGACTAATCCTCACATTTATGACCTTAGCAGGTCTGTAAAGCAAATGAAAACTGAAAGATCATAAAAATAATCACAGTTTCAATTACCACTTTGCTTAACGACTGAGTTGCTGGTCCCAATTGTAGCCACTAAACAAGGACTATCTACAGTATATACTATAAAAGATAAGCTAGAGAGAAAAAATTATTATTGCCTTAAAAATGAAGAGTTCTGTTGAAGTCAAATTGTGTTATTTTCTATTGAAGTTTGGGTCTGAAACTAGAACTAAACTTGTGACTGTCAGTCTCAGTTTAGATACTTCTATTGGGAAAACAATGATTATTAATTTGATTAGGTATCACCAAGTTGCTGAGTCTTAGCAACCAGGGTGTCAAATTTTCTCCATGATCTTTCAGGTCTTCCAATGGTGCCCTCATTGCCACTGTAACTGAGTCCATCTATCTTGGCTGTTTGTCATTTTCTCTTTTCCTCCTACTTCTTCCAGCATTAGAGCCTTCTCTGAAGAGCAAGTTCTTTGCATAATATACCCAAAGTAGATAATTTGTGAGTGGTCATTTGTTCCTCAAAGGAGACCTCTGATTGGATTCATTGAATAGATCCATTTGTGTATTTTCTTGGCTGTCCATGGTATTCTCAGGAGCCTTATCCAACATCATTGCAGCATTCCTGCAGTCTCATGAATAAAATTGACCCATCTGCATTGGTGACTGTCTTTTGGCTGCCTGACTACCTACTGCTACCTACTGCTGTCAGCTGCCCCTATCACTTAGCCCTGCTCCCATTGTACCAAAGGAAGCCTTCTTTCATGCCCTCTTTATCTTGCGCTGGTGCTGCTGGGGCCTTTTCTTGCAAGCCATTCGGGGCTTCCATTTGTGTGCTGACTAAAGCCTCTATTCACATCCTCTCCAGGGCCCCTGTTCACACACCAGCCAGGACTTTCTTTCACATGCCAGTGCAAAAGAAGGCCCCAATTAGAAGGAGGCACTGGCCAGTGTGTAGAGGGGTGCAGAAGCCCTAGCTGGCGATTGAGAGAAGCCAGCACAAGAGGGAAGGTCCCAGTTGCACGTGTGAAAGAAGAGCCTAGTCAGTCTAGTAGTTACATGCAATGAGATAGCGGGGAAGGCTGGGCAGCAGGAGAGCTGGCGGCAGTGAATTGGTGGGTAGCCAAAAGGGCAGAGATGGAGCAGAGATAGGTGTATGGAGTGTGTGCATTTTTTCCAAAAATGGCTTGGATCCAGGAGGTCCTCGCCTAACAACCACATGGGATTCATTCAACAACAGCAATTGGGATTGATAGAACTGCTATCGCTAAGCAGAATGGTCACATAACATTTCACTTAAAGACTGTGTCACCTAATATGGAGTTGCTGATCCCAATTAGAGTTGTTAAGTGAGGACTATTTGTACTTCATGACATTAAAATGACATGGCATTTGGAGTTTCAGTACTGTAAAATGTGCAATGTCACAGATGTAAAAAAATAATTCTCAAAACCCCAAGTCATGTTGTGGCAGAGGTGTGGAGACACAAAAGAATGTATGGAAGGCACCAGAAAATGGAGAAAATATCCATTAACACTATTAGCTCCCAGCATTGTCTTGTTGTTTACTTTGATATGTTATCCTGTGTGAATGAAAATGAAGGGCTAGTTATCTGAGGACTTCTCAAATAAAAGAATGCTAGCAAGCTTTGTTGGCATTTGATTTCTATGGCAGTAACTTACGTACTTTGCAGTCTACTAAACATAAGGATCAGTGGGGTGTAGATAGTTACACAATTACATGTGACCCCTGTTTGTCTTTTCTATCTAGTTTTTGTATAAGAGGTAATTAATTTCTGGCCCTTTCTTCTTGCCTTTGCTCTATAGGCATCCATACAAGCAAACATTCTTTTGTCATTCTTGTTGTCTCTCTTCCTAGTAGGGTGTAGCTAGCAAAATGGTACAAAACCTCATGTTTTACTCTGATTGAACCTTCGTACTACAAAACCTCATTTTTACTCTGGTTGAACCTTTGTACTAAAATTAAGAAACATGTTCACTAATTCTTGCTCAAGTTAGATTTTACTGATTCCATGTTTAGGAGCACAAAATATTTCCCTTCAAATAGGATCTAGTAGCCAGAGTGGGCCTGAGGATCCGACTGAAAAGTATGTTAGTTTGGTCAGGTTTATTAGCATGTACCTGTGCCTTTTGCCAGTTACAGTAATGAAGCCTGAAACAAATGCTATCTATTTATATAAGGCATACAACCTAAAACTTAAAAAGGGGAAAAAGACAGCACTGCCCTTTAATTTTTTGGCAACTAATTTGTAAGCCCCACAAATAATCCAAATGAGATTATAGAGGGGTTTTTTTGTGTTTGTTGTGAAGTGCTAGTGATATTAGCAATTTTGGAAAGCAATTCTTATCAGCGTTCAGTTCTCCAATATTGTAGCATTATAACTAACACAATTGTGAAGTAAAACCATTGATTTAAGAAAAAGTTATTCTGCTAATGTTAAATCCATTTAGAAACTATATTTACACATGATTTACACATATCCATTTTGTTATTTTTCAGTTTATTATCTTTGAATTACAGAGTTGCTAGACTTCTGGCTTAATCAAAGTTAATTAACAAATGGAAGAAAAGTGGTATTATACAGAAAACAATGGCAGTGGAGATAACTGTCAAAATATTCAAAGGAGGAACGATTCAGTTTCTAGTTCATCAAGGCGCATCCACCGAGCTCTCGAAAAACTTGTATCTAATTCAGCAGTCTCTTTGGATCTGAGTCGAAAAGATCTACAGCATCTTACTTCAGAAATATACAGATTATTTAATCTCAGAGTAAGTCTTTCACTATTAACATACCTAATTAAAGGATAACTGAAAAATATGTTTTCCCACTTGAGATGTTGCAGTATATACAAATTGCATTTTAAGATAACTGTATTCTTGATAATCCTTTAAAAATTACTTGAATAATTTTAGCACTTTTTATCATTTTGTGGGAAATTATTACTTTCAAATTATATGTTAAGCAATACAATCTCATAGGCTACTCATCTGTTTCTCTCTCTCTCTCTCTGTCTTTCCCCCCTCCCCCTTCCTCTCCCTCTCCCTCTTCTCCCCTTTTAGTATTTACATCTGGAAGGAAATGCCCTTTCTATAATTCCTGAAGATTTTTTTCAGACCTTGTCAAATCTTACTTGGCTAGATCTGCGCTATAATAAATTGAAAGAGCTTCCTTCTGGGATTGGATGCCACAAGTAAGTTTTCTGCTATATAAATATGTCCATTGTTTTTTAAAAAGGAATTTGTTCAATAGTAGATATCATGTAACTATGATTCAACAAATTGAGTAGTAGTACTCAAACCATGTATGATTAAATATTAACACTAATGTATCATCACAAGAACAAATAAAGGTAGTCTTTGACTTACAATAGCTCATTTAGTGACTGTTCAAAGTTACAACAACACTGAAAAAAATGATGACTGTTTTTCACACTTACAACTGTTGTAGCATCTCCATGTTCACATGATCAAAATTCGGGTGCTTGGCAACTGGTTCTTATTTATGACAGTTGCAGTGTCCCAGGGTCATGTGATCACCTTTTGCAACCTTCTGACAAGCAAAGTCAATGAGGAAGCCAAATTCATTTAACAAACATGTTACTAACTTAACAGCTGCAGTGATTCACTTAACAAATGTGGCGAGAAAAGATCGTAAAATGGGGCAAAATTCACTTAACAAATGTCTCGCTTAGCAACAGAAATGTTGGGCTCAATGGTAGTCGTAAGTCAAGAACTACCTGTATTGGAAATACTTTTGCAATGTATGGACTTCATTTTTTAGAATTCTTAACAGTGCCCCTGATGGTTGGAGAATTCTGGCCTTGGAAATCCACACATTGTAAAGTTGTCCAGGTTAGGAAGCCCCATTATAACTCTACCCTTCAGCGATTCTTTGTCCTTAGAATAGCCTGGCTGACATTAGGAAATGCTACCCCCCCCACCCCCATTTATGAAAGACAGATGAAATTAAAAAGCTCCCAAGTTTCTTCTCCATTGCTTTGACAAAATATGGAAATATGACTTCTCATCTGAGAGAGGCCATATGTTATCAGTGTCACTAGTGAAGTGTGGGGCAACCAATAATAACAACCAGGTTAATTCTTATATAGGAGATCGGTACAGAGCCTTGATGGGAAAAGATGTTGTTTTTTATTCAAGTGTATGCCAACTTCTGGAAAGAAAGTGAGATCTTATTTTATATCAAAAGAAGTGGATAAAGCGAGGAAAACTGACTCCTTTCTAAAATCTTGGCACATCTTCTTTCCATATTCAGCCAGGCAGAGATATCCCACAATGAACCATCTTGAACAACCTTAAGAGTCATAGTGGATATTTTTGTGAAGGCTGATGGCTCATTACTTTATGAAATTGCTCAGTTTCTGAAGCATGTGTTGGGCTTGCTGGTTTCTTCTGAAATAACTCAGTATTTAGGAAGCTTCTGGTGACTATTCCGGCACTGCAAATCTGAGTTTTGACCCAAACAGTGCCACTGCTGCTTTTAAAGTAATGTTGACTTTATCTTGGGAAACAAAATCACTAGATTGCCCAGTTGTGCTAAGAGCAATCCCACGACACATTCTATCCCTCATCTTCAGAAGACATTTGTGGGCAATTGAAGTGAATTCTAATAGGTCATGACACTTCCCTACAAACGCTTCATTTTGGGGGGCTATGATAATAGGCTGCAGAAAACACGGGTCTACAGTGAGCTTTCTTCACTTACATTGTTTTTATTTTTCCCAGTTGACATATTAATACTATATGTGAAGAAAACAGTGTGAATCTGTTTGTTGTGCCTTTTTTGCATTTATTATCAGTTTGCAAAGGAATATATGTTTGAAATAGTCTTAATGATAGAGAGAAGCTAATTTCAAAGTATGCTCCCCCAATATGTACAGCAGAATTTGATGATGGTGATGTATTTTAATGCACTAAATATAAAAAATAGCCTTTTGAAACGTCAGTCTATCGCTGATGTGACTACATATGTTTTCAAACTCAACGTATATATAATTTTTCTTATAGAAAGCATCTCCATCCTATTGGGCCCTGATGTGGGGTAGAAATTGATAAACAGTATTCTTATACAAGTACATATAATGCATTATAATTCATTAGGCCATTTAGATTCTTTCAGGAATCTACTTTTTTATTAAAGTAGTATAAGAATATATACATTAATCATCTCTTAGTTTCTTGACTAATCATATTTGTCATGATGTATTTAAATATTATTTTCTTATTTATTAAAAAGGCAGCTGAAAACTCTCCTGTTAGAGAAAAATCCTATTAAAAGGCTACCAGTGGAGCTTGGTAAGTATTCTGTCCCCTCAATACTATCTAACTGAACTTAGCATACATATATTCCTTTCAAAATACCCCTCTCAGGTAAGCAGCATGACAGGTCAGAAAAATAGTTAGAACAAATGGCATGAATGACATGAGCAAAGGAAAGAAAAGGAACAGAAATATAGCATGATCTAGTTTACAAACACACTAACTATATCTTTCTATCCTTGCAAATCATTCTTGATTTTATCATATTCTTATACTACTTCATATATTGCTTTTTTTTTCCAGACTTCTGACATTTTTCTTTCTGAGCATTTCATCAGTTCCATCCAGTCACAGATTTCTTGGCCTTTCTTTCTTCTTAACTATTCTTTTAAATATTTGTTTTGCACTTTTATCTTCATTCATTTTAGTATTCAGTTTACATAATTAGTTCATTTTTGTTCCTATCCCTTCTTATTTCGTTTTCTTTTTTTTGTCACGTTTTCCCCAACTTAATTGTTTTATTGTATTATAAAATGTGAATAATATAGAGTGCAGATAATTTGTTTATTCAAATGAAATTAAAAATAGTTACCACTGTGATGATTTAGATAAATTAAATGTTTAAACCTGAAGAAAAAAAGGTTATCTCAATGTTAAATATTTTCTAAAAGGTAATAATAAGGTTGCTTAAATTGTACAGTGATATTGATAAACAGTTTTAAAATGCACTGAGTTATTTTATAAAAAGAAAAATATATTTATAAAGAAAAAAATTAATCTTTAGACTTAACTAGACAACACAGGACCCACTGGGTTCTCGTTTCAGAGATATTTCCTTGCCAGATTCCTCAATGTCTTCAACAAAGGCAGAGCTCCTAATGTACTGGAAAAGTTCTTAAAATTTCAGGGTGATATTCTGAGATGTGTCTGTCTTGAAAGTAGCCCATGTTGAACTCTATAGTACAGTTAAACATCATCAACTGACCACAGAAAATGTTTTATAACATTTTGTATAATGCCATAAAATCCTTTATGGCAATGTTTACGGTATGTCATAAAAGCGCAGAGGGGCTGGTGGCGAGTTAGAGGTGGGAGAGACCTATTCCAGTGACTTGGACCATCTATGTTGGGTTCCCCGTTGAATTTCTGAGAAGCCAGCAAGGAAGGTTGCCAATGGTGGCCACATGATTGCAGGGCATTTGGCAACTGGTTGTAAGTGCAGACAGATTACCAAATACACAGATCATGATTGCGGGGATGCTGGGATGGCCAGAACTCTGAAGACCAGTTATAAACCCAGTTCATTCATCAGCCATCTTAACTTGGAATGGTCCCCAACTGAATGGTCATGGCTTGACCTATCCTATACTGACAATTTTTTGCCATTCTGATAAGATTTTCTCTGAGGTTGAGATTAGCCCCATTTGAAACAACTTTATCTTGGATAATACATTATTTTTAATAAATTGATCCTTACCAGAAAGGTTTCAAATATCTCCCCATTTTGAAATCTTGTTTGATTTCTTGCCATAATATAGCATACAAGTATTCCTTGACTTATCACCAACATCAAGCACAAAATTTCTGTTCCTAAACAAGATGGTTGTTAGTGAGTCATGTCTCATGTTATTACCTTTTTGCCATGGTTGTTAAATGAATGTTATAAGTGAATGTTGCAATTGTTAAGCAAATCTGGCTTCCCCCATTGATTTTACTTGTCCAAAGCCCCCAACACGGTTGCAAATAACAATCGCAGGACCCTGGGATGCTGTAATCATTGTAAATAAATACATGCTGGTTGCCAAACGTTGAAAAGTTGATCACATGACTGGGGCTGCTGCAGTGGTCATAATTGGTCATAAGTGTGAAAACTGGTCATAAGTCACTTTTTCAGTTCCGTTGTAACTTTGAACAGTCATTAAACAAATTGTTGTAAGTTGAGGATTACCTGTAGTTATTTTTATTTATTGATTGATTATTACCTTCAAATGGAAACTAAGGTATTTCACTGAATGGCTTATCTGACAGTCAGATTCTTCCCACAAGAGATTAATTTCTTTGTTTCATCTTCTTAAGCAACCTCTTCTCACTACACTTAACCGACTTTCATGTTTCTCCTGGCTCTGTTCCCATCTCTGACTTTCATATACAGAAAAGTGTTCTTATATATAGCCGTTTTGCTTCTTTTGACACATATTTATTCATCACAAAAAACCTTATACTCTGCACTGCCTTCTACCAGGATTTACCTAACCCTTGTTTGTCTATTTTTCTACATTTAGTAAATAAAAGGTTCAAATCTTACAGATATATAGTTTGTCTAGAAAGTACTCACACCGGTGAAGCGAACAGAATATAAAACTATTGATGACCTTGAGTCAAGCCTGGGTTTATTAGCATTTCATTTTCTTATACTTCTATAAGTGCTATGTGAGCCTTGTATTTTCCTAAAGAAAATATTTCTTTATGTAAGAGCAACAAGGTCTATGTGCAGATATTTTTGTATTACATTAGAAGTTAACATACCCATAAGAATAAATAAGAATAGTGTAGAAAAGGGGGGAGAAAAGAGGCACAGAAGATTTGAAACTGGGAATAGCATGACTACTGTTTTTATTACTGCTGAGGAATATTCTTGAAAAGAAAAATTGTTTTACAACATTAATAATAGGATTTAACTGACAGCAATTTAGAATAAGGGAAACCTGTTACAGAAAGGTATTTGTCTTCCAGCACTGCTTTTACAGAAATAATTTATGTGCAAATATACATGTAATCATGTGTATTTGTCAGCAAAAAAGAAATCTGAACATGTAATCATGAATAAAATATAGTCTAATGCAGAATACTAAGTACTACAGCTTCAAAAAATAAGAGCAAAAACAGTGGAAATAGTAATTACTCAAGCTGTGAGTGGACATTTTAAAATACTATTTTGAAGGCAGTGTGAAAAATGTGTTATTACCTGCATCATGATCTTGGCAGTTTTCATATTGTTTTTCCCAGTTATATATGGGTTCTGTTTACTTTATATTACTCAAATGTATTTGTACTGTGACATTTTTCATAATGAAATTAAACAGGCTTCCGTAAAGAGAAAAATATGTTATAGCTTAAGTATATTTTAAATTTTGGTATAATATAATTCAGAGGTTTTTCAATATACTTTTTTTTATCAAAGTGTGATAAGTACAATGGAGAATTAAGAACTGTGGATTACAGTAGATTTTGGTCCTAACAATAATTCTAATCAATTTTTATCCCACTCTCATTTTCTAGAGACATTTACTGGCAGTCCTCAACTAACAACAGTTCATTTAGTGACTGTTCGAAGTTAGAGTGGCACTGAAAAAAGTGACTTATGACCGTTTTCCCCACTTACGACCATTGCAGAATCCCCAAGGTCACATGATCAAAATTCGGCTGCCTGCCAACTGGTTCTTATTTATGACAGTTGCAGGGTCCAGGCTCATGTGATCACCTTTTGCAACCTTCTGACAAGCAAAGTCAATGAGGAAGCCAAATTCATTTAACAAACATGTTACTAACTTAACAACTGCAGTGATTCACTTAACAATTGTGGCGAGAAAAGTTCGTAAAATGGGGCAAAATTCACTTAACAAATGTCTCGCTTAGCAACAGAAATGTTGGGCTCAATGGTGGTCGTAAGTCAAGAACTACCTGTATTGGAAATACTTTTGCAATGTATGGATTTCATTTTTTAGAATTCTTAACAGATGGTTGGAGAATTCTGGCCATGGAAATCCACACATTGTAAAGTTGCCCAGATTGGGAAGCACCGTTATAACTACCCTTCAGCGATTCTTTGTCCTTAGAATAGCCTGGCTGACATTAGGAAATGCTACACACACACCCCACCCCCACTTATGAAAGACAGATGAAATTAAAAGGCTCCAAAGTTTCTTCTCCATTGCTTTGACAAAATATGGAAATATGTGTGATAAATTGTTGCCCTTTAGGCTGACTTCTCATCTGAGAGAGACCATATGTTACCAGTGTCACTAGTGAAGTGTGGGGCAACCAATAATAACAACCAGGTTAATTCAGTGGGGAAGCCAGATTCACTTAGCAACCATTTTACTACCTTAACAACTGCAGTGATTCACTTAACAACTGTGTCAAGAAAGGTCATAAAATGGGGCAAAACTCGCTTAACAAAATGTCTCACTTGGCAACAGACGTTTTGGGCTCAAGTACTGCATACAGGACATTTATTATACATATAATGACTTATTCAGACATTTTTTCAAGGTATCCAGATAATCTTATTTTCTATCCAGAACATTCGTATGTTTTCCCACTTCTAGAAAAAGGAATAGCTGCACAGTATCTTTTGATTCAAAGCAGTAAGGTGCTGTCCATCTGAGAACACCCACCTTTCACAGTGCATGCTGTTGATTAAAACAACATTTTAGATTTCATGGAAATTTATAAGAAATAGCATAAACATTAAATAAAGCTAAGATAATCCATTTTTCTATTAGTAATAAGGGAAGTTTCTGCCCTCTAGTGGAGACATCTGTGAAAAACAGTTTCTGGAGTTACATATCCCAGCAGTAGGGATAGAAATATATTTTTCAGGGCCTGTTTATATGTAGGGTAGATTCTATCAGGTATCTAATAGAATAAGGTGGTAACAAGGAGCTATGCAGAATTAGTCCTGAATGGTTTCGCTTTCATTGCCTATTAAAAGAAATTCCTGTATATACTGAGGAGTGCCATGAGAAAAAGAGGATGAATACTGTAACAGAATAACAGAGTTTGAAGGGACCCGGAGGTCTTCTATGCAATTCCCAGCTCAAGCAAGAAACCCTGTATCATTTCAGATAAATCATTGTCCAGTCTCTTCTTAAAAACCTCCAGTGTTGGAGAACCCACAATTTCTGGAGGCAAGTCATTCCACTGATTAATTGTTCTAACTGTCAGGAAATTTCTCCTTAGTTGTAAGATGAAGAGGCTCTTAAGACACTAAACTAAAATCCATGAGTTTGTAGGTGTTTGGAATTAAATGAAGTTTGGTTTTTTGCTTGCTTTTAAAGATGTGGAGGGTAGATCAGTGTGTGCACAGACTTTTTTTAAATGACATTTTTTAAAAAAAAATCTTACATCTTTCTTGCTTGGAGTTGGTCCTAGCAGCAGCAGCAGCAGCAGCAGTGGCATGTACAGATGTGTAGCAGCTCTAGATGGAAGCCAGCATAGCATATTCTTGGGAATTAGCAGCATGAAGCAGCGGGCATCAGCTTCACCAGCAGCTTCTTCTGTACTGTGGCTTTCTACTTTGCTGGCTCATAGATAACCCTAGAATGGAGCAAATGGTCTGGTCCTTTCACTTATGTAGAACAGATATGAGTGGAGTTACTTCTCACAAATGAAGGCAAATATACATGTCCCAGGATAATGTTCAAGATCCAATCTGAGTTGGTCACCAGGACCAAAGGTTTACTCTTCCAAGCTTTTGGACTCTTGCTGGAGCCCATCCTCAGGGAACTTCTCTACTGGAAAATGTGCTTTGGGCTATTCTATGAGTCATATTTATGTGATGTCTTCCTATTGGTTAATTGGTGTGTTGGTGGCCGGCGATTGGCTATTGTTTCCAAGCCAAGAATGGATGATAAATGGGAATGGTTGGTGACCTGCAATTGTTTTATCACCCTTGTTGCTGGAGCAGTGAGGAGAGGTTATATTACCTGCCATGGCGAATGAAAGTATGTCTGAGGGAGATTAAATACTTTAGCCTGGGAGGTGGAAAGTGTGGAGACGAAACTAGGGTAGGAGAGAGTAATTCCAACAAGGTTGTGATATATAAGTGAGTGGAGCAGTCACAGGGATGATAAATTTGGGGACTGCAACCTGTCTTATCTTCCAGTCAGTATTCAAGATCAGATCATCACATTCTTGATGGCCTGGGTTCTAGCTGCTGTAACTGAACATTAGACCAATATGTAATAAAACCACCCTCATCCACAATTGACTGTAAGTGAGGCAGCCCACTTGTTGTGTGTGGTTGAGTTTGGGTGGCCCCAGAGAGAGGAGGTCCTCTCCCATAGATATGCCACCTGCATTTTCAGCTGTGAAGCCAGGATGGAGATGGTGGTGATGTTGACAGTTGTCATCCATAATACCTTAATGGCATTTTGTGTGTGTGTCCTAGCTTTGGTTTTAAAAAAAATGTTCATGTAGTAGAAAGGCAAAGTTCAGGCATAATGCAGGCACTTGGAGGCCAAACTTGCAAAGATATTGGGCAGGAATACACACACACACACACACACACACACAAAGTTTAGGAACAATTATTTTGCAACTGGACTTATAAAAGTGTTAGGACGTTTATCTGGAGAGATGGCAGCAGACAACAGAAAAAGAGTTGGGGGAAACAAGAGAAAGAATATGTGTGTGCAAGATAAATTGCTTGATAAATTACTTGGGGCTAGGGAAAAGGCATAATCTGAATAGTTTGTAATCCATTACTACACAACAGCTTGTAAAGTATCAAGGGATGAGTCAGGAGCTTGGCCAGGAACACCAAGGTCAAAACAAGCAGAAATCAAGAACAGGAATTCACAAATAAAGATGCCGAAGTTGCTTCCAGGAACAGAAGGAGTCCCTGCATAGATTAAATCTCCCCGCCAAGCGTACACAGCCGAAACATTTCCTGCTCAGCAGTTGCCAATAATGAAGCATGGGGCTTGCTTGCAGAGTCAGCATCTTTCTGCTTGCTTGCAAGGTGCTTACTTTGCCAAAGTGCAGGATTCTCAGGCCTGTAAAGCTTCTTGGCACCCGAGTTAACTGGCTGAGCAGAGGATATCAGTATTGGATCCCTGGCTATTGAATCATTAGGCTCAGCACCCACTGGGACCTGATCTGTTTGCATCTTAGAACATGGGTCTGAGATGATGACATTTTCAGAGTTTTTGCTCTCCAGGTAAACAAGTAGGAGACCTTCTGGTTGAAGGATCCTGTTGTCTCCAGAGTTGTGGGTGCTCCATCACTGGAGGTTTTTAAGAAGAGATTGGACAACCATTTGCTTGAAATGGTATAGGGTTTTCTGCTTGAGCAGGGGGTTGGACTAGAAGACCTCCAAGATCCCTTCCAACTCTGTTGCTCTCTTATTCTGTTCTGTTAAGTGGAGCTCTAGGGAGCAGTTACTGTTCTACTAGCCTTCCTGCTGCAAAAGAACATCCCTCCTTGAGCTGCTAGTTTCTGTTGCAGGATTGGCCGTGGAGTCACTGGGAGCCTGACACATACCAGGGTTACACATTAAACTTTTCCTTTTTGGCCGTAGATTAGTTACAATCTGATCTGAAAGTGGAAGATAATATACAAGTAGTCCTCAAATTACAACCACAATTGAGCCCTAAATTTATGTTGCCAAGTGAGACATTTGTTACATGAGTTTTGCCCCATTTGACAACCTTTTTGCCACAGTTGTTAAGTGAATCACTGAAGTTGTTAAAGTTAGTAATGTGGTTGTTAATGTGCTTCCCCATTAACATTGCTTGTCAGAAGGTCGCAAAAGGTTATCATATGACCCCGTGCCATCGTAAATATGAACTAGTTGCCAGGCATCTGAATTTTGATCACATGACCATGGATATGCTACAACAGTCATAAGCGTGAAAAATGGTCATAAGTCACTTTTTTCAGTGTCATTGTAACTTTGAATGGTCACTAAATGAACTATTGTAAGTTGCGGATACCTGTAATCACTCCTTTGCCATGTCAGATCATTTTCTGGTCACCTTTTGGCTTGTCAGTGTAAGAAGGCAGGATCTATTTAATCAACCCACTCCAGGCCATTAGTGGACCCTGCAAGATTCCAGAGAGACTTTAGATTGCTTCCCAAGAATTTGATGGCAGTCTGGAATGAGCATAGGATGAGGACCCTGTATTGGATTTTTCCAAGTATTTTCTCATTATGCATCAATCCTAAGGTGCTCCTCGGTTTTCTGAGCAAGTTGTTCGTCAAAAATCAAAACTAAATCCAGCAAAGTGTAAACAAGAGCCCATATTAGGCATTTTATTGTGATAAAAACTTCTCTTTCTGCTGTTTCTGCATCTTTCCTAGTTCCCCTTAATCTCTCAGCAGATTCCAATATCATGGTATCCTTCTCGGCTGCCTATGGGAATTAGCAATGAGAGTACACTGTTGCATTGCTGGGTTTACTGTATTCAGTGTTTTCAGTGGTTGGGAGAATTTGACCCAGACACATCTGACATGTGTCACTGGGTTTCATGCTGTTGCCCTTCCTGTTTAATATCTAAATGATTCTGATGCTTAAAGTCATCTGTTAGTTGAAGTCAGGTATTGTTAGTTGCTGATGATACTCAGTTATGAGTCTTGATCCTGGGCAAATTAGATGCACAAGTAATAACTAGCACCATGAATCATACCTGGAAGAAGATTGGCAACCAGTACAGTTCAGAGAGCAATGGCTATCACAAGAGCATACTAAGGCAAGCCCATCACTGCATTCTGGCCAGCTGAAGCTTCTGAATGGTCTTCAAGGGCAGCCTCATATAGAGCATATTGCAGTAGTCAAGCCTTGAGGTGTCTAGGGCATGAATGGCCATCCGAAAGCCACTCCTCGCAATCTAGGAAAGGGCACAATTGATGCACCTGAGGTAGCTGAGCAAAGGTTCACTTAGCCACAGCTGCCATCTGCTCTTTGAACAGGAGTTATGAATTCAAGAGGACTCCCAGATTACATACCCCATCCTAGTATTTGAATGGAAAGTAATCTGATCCAGAATATTTTAATAACTATTCAATCTTAGTAGTATTCAGTTGGAGATAGTTTTCCCTATCCAGGCCTTTTGCAGAACTTCATATTATATAGCAGTTCTGCCTTTCCTGAGTTGGAGGGCTGTCATTCATGCCCTGGCCAATTTCCAGGTGGATTGTAGTAGCATGGTCTACGTGAAACTTCCCTTGAAAAGTATCTGGAAGCTTTAGCTGATACAAAATGCAGCAGCATGGGCAGTGATGGGTGCCCCTAGAATGGCATATATTACATCTCTGCTCTATGAGCTACATTAGTTGCCATATATGGCTTGGGATCTGGGTTTTTTCAAGACTGCCTATTCCAGGTAAAATCTGTGTGCACGGTATGCAAAACAAATGGTAAACAAATGAAATAAATAAATAGAGATTTTTTGCTGAGGTCCTCATCTACTGGGATTAGCAGGAAATAGCACAAAAGCTGCCATTTTCTATGAAGCCTTGGCTGTTATAGAGCAGCCTGCCCCTTGAGGGAGGTCTTCCTTCATACTCTTCCACAAACTTATTAAAACTGGATGTTCCAAATGTACTTTCTTGCAAACCAACAGTCTTATTGTTTCTAAGTCAGTGTTTCTCAACCTTGACAATTTGTGGACTTGACAATATGTGGACTTCAACTCCCAGAATTCCACAGCCAAAATTGCTGGCTGTGGAATTCTGGGAGTTGAAGTCCACATGCCTTAAAATTGTCAAGGTTGAGAAACACTGTTCTAAGTAATAATTACTTAAGTAATAATAGGGAGAGCTTTCTTTTCTAAAACATTTTAACATTACATCTTTGGTTTTCTTCTTTTGGCAGGTAAGGTAGTTTCACTTACAGCCTTAAATCTCAGGCATTGTCCTCTGGAATTTCCCCCCCTTGAAGTGATACAGAAGGGTCTGGCATTCATTTTATGCTTCCTCCGAAAGAACTATAATGAAAATATTGAGTATGCAGAGTCTATTTCTCCAGGTATAGTAATATTTTAATACATGTTCTTGAAATAACTGTATTAACCTAATTAAGTAACTAAAATGGATTTGAGTTTTATACAATTAAGGTATCAAGTGACCTGAAAATATTTATGGACTGTCTCTCCCATTGTTTTTGCTGAGCCCATCAAATCTTGCAGTGAAGGCCTGTTCCAGGTCCCCTCAAACAGTGGGATCTCTTTGGACCTAGAAGTTGTGCTTTCTCTGTGGGTCTACTTGCTCTGCGTCCCTCTGGAGATCCAGATGGGCCAACCTGGGTAACCTTTTGTAAGGTTTTAAAGATGTGCCTGTGTTTTTAAATATTTGGGCCAGGAAATTAGCTGATATTTGATGTTGAATTGGTTTTTGTGATTTAGGATTTAATGTTTTAACTTTAGGTATCATGAGTTATATGCTGTATTTATTGCTTTAATCCACTGTCCAGTGTCTGTTATGAAATGGATGGCCATATAAATAATTTAAATACATAATTGAATATTATTTCTATCTAAGGCACAAAATGTTAATATACCTATTTTTATTGAAGAAGCTAAGCAGGAGTCAGTTTAATAATACATTTGATGGGGAGAGAAGGAGGGAGAGGAGATAGGTCTGATTATATTGGTTTTGTTTGCTTTCTGTTTGGTTATTTCTGTGTTTTCATTGTAGTTCATTGAGATGTACATTCTAAGAACCATGTGCCCCACTTCTGGAAAGTATAGAACTTTCCGGTTGTCTTTGAGAATCATTTAACTATACAGTATATAAGGCTTTTTGTGGTATATAGGTATATCTGATCCCAGATAATATATCTAACATATTCTGCATTGTGGTTCATATATTACCTATTGTGCTTGAGCTCCTAATAAAGACTCCATGCATATGGCATACAGTTATTTAGCTACTGGTAGTTTTGGCAACTGCTCTTGAAGTGTTAATGGATTATATGATTAAACACAGCAATTTAAGTCCTTATTGACTTAAACTATTGTTCATGATTGATTGATTGATTGATTGAATGATTAATTGGTTAGGTGTCATCAAGTCAGTATTAACTCTTAATGTCAGGTAAGCTCAGACAGAAAAAATACAGTAAAATTAATTCTGCTTTACTATAAAGCTACAGTAACAGAATCTTGCAAGTATAATTCTCTTGTTATACTTTGGGTGGATTTATTTGATGATTCGTTTTTTTCATTTTCTTGGCTATCTGGTATTCATTCTCAAGAGTCTTCTGCAACACCATAGTTCAAAAGCCTCATTAGTCTTTTTACCATGCTTCTTCAAAGTTCAACACTGTCATAGCATGTTACAGCCAAAACTGTTGACTGAACAGTTCTGATCTTTGTAGGTATAGACACAGCCTAGAATCTGAATATCTTTTCCAAGATCTTCATTGCTGTTTTACCAACTGCTGGTCTGCTATGTATTTCTTGATTGCTGGTTCCTTTATTGTTGCTAGTTGATCCTAAAGGCAGAAGGTGTCTATCACGTTGATGTCTTTAATGTTGCATCTTTAATTCTAAGCCTGATTGCTGAACCTGTTGTTATTATTTTGGTCTTTTTTAATATGTAATCTTAATTTTATTTGGGGGGTGATTTCTTGATTTTACTACTACGTTTTGCAGATCATTTGCATTTTCAGATATCAGAATAATGTCTTCAACATAGCTCAGGTTACTCATACTGTATTTGTACTTCCAGTTTTAAAATAACATTTATCTTCTTCCAATATTGCTCAATATTTATTCCATATAAAGGTTGAATATATAAGGGTGAGTATATAGCCTTTTCTCATCTCTTTGCCAACCTGGAGCTGGTCTTTTACCATATTGTGCTCTCCAGACCTGTGCATCAATTTTGTGTGAGGAGAGTGAAATGTCTGTGGTTCCCATTTTTCCAATCATGTTCCACAGTTTTACATGACTGAAACAATCGAAGACCTTTCTGTAATCAACAAAACATATATTGCCTTGTTTTTGTGATTCTTTGGCTTTCTCAACTATTCAGCATTCACTAGCAATAACTTTATGCCCTTAACTTTCATTTATTTATTATAGTTGTCTTATTAATTCGACTGTAGTTGATCATCTGAAAGAAAGCATTGTATTTTCACATCAAGGAAATAGAATTATACAGTCTTCAGTACAAAGTGAGGATTTTTTTTTTTTAAAAAAAAAGTTAATTCAGGGTCAAATATTTAGAGTGTTGTCTATAAAGTAATCAAGACAATATTGCAATAGCCTGCCTAATATTTAGAATTAATTTATTTTATTGGTTCATGGTTTGGGTTTAGGTTTCACGCAACCTGAATTCTTGGTTAAACTCTCAATAAATGACTAAAGGCTTTTTTTTTATTACATAAGAAAAAAAGGTGAATCTATCATGAAAACAGTGTAATAATTTGATTTTTGGAAGTAGGTGAAAGCAAAACAGTAGATGCATCCAGAGAGAAAAATAGTGCTTAACCCCTCCAGTCCATAACTTTCTGAAGCAACAGTGAATAAGAAGAATAATTGTAATCTATCATGAGATCTTTAAAGATCTGTACTTACATGTATTTGGATAAATAGGTATAGTAAATCCTTTTGAATGTAACATTAGTAGGGCATCTACATTCTGTTGCCTAATACTTTGTGTACCAAATGTGCATCTAGATGTTAATGAGAATTGGGGGAATTGGTTGGAACTGCCAGTCAAGTAGGGGCAGCAGACATTTTCTCCCTGATAGTATTCCTCTATACAGTATTTGAAGAATACTGTACATACTACAGTTTCTATGCCAGGGGTCCCCAATCTCCAGTCCGTGGACCGGCACCAGGCCACGGCATGCCAGAAACCGGTCCGCGCAAACAAGCAAAGCCCCATCTGCGGGATGCAGACAGTACATGAAACCCCGCCCCCTCTGGTCTGCAGAAAGACCTCTGTCCACAGAACTGGTCCCTGGTGCTCAAAAGGTTGGGGACCTCTGCTCTATGCTGCTTGCTGACTATCCCCAAAATTCTAAAACTCTAATTATCCAGGGCTTTGTAATCTTAGGGTAAGTCTTTATAAACAAATTAACTTTTTATCTGCCCTCTACATGTATAAGACAGCAAGAATGTCATGGAATGAATTTAGCAAGCACATTCCGTTATCCTTTCCATGCATAGCTTAATTACAGACAACAGTATACAAAGGACTTATTCCAGCACAACCATAAAGGACACAAAAATATGTATCCTCTAATACTATGCCATATCCACCATTTTTAATATGGACCATTATACTCTGATATATTTTTTTTGCATTGGACACCATGACAATTGATTATTTTATATATTCATCCCATGCTTCTGTGTGGTATTTACATTTGAGATAGAGAGAATATATTCTGCTATTCATGAAACTCATACAGATTTTTACAAATAATGTAATGTTTCTGTATCTTTTGAAGTTTATATGGAAAAGAAATAAACTGGTCTTTACATTATAGTGATCTTACTTTAGAGCATCAGTAATTCTATTCTTTAAAAAATATAGGTGTGTTCTAAATAAACCTGCATAATAAACATACTGTCCTTTAAAAAAAAAAGCATGTACTTTACACAACTTTCCACGTGCCTCTTTGGTGTTTTATTGATCTTCAAAGGAGGATGTTCGTAAAAAATTTGTACCAGATCATCCCATGTCAGCGTAGTTGTAACATGCGCATGTACCTTGACATTCTGTATTTCACAGACTTGCCTTCTCCGCTAGAACAAGAAGCAAAGGCCATTGTTAGAGAATACAAGAAAAAATGTGACAGACCGCCTGATCGTAGGAAAGCTTTCAACGCTTTGTGGAAACAGATGAGCCTCTTTAGTGAGTTTAGTAGAGCACTAGAATTGGAAGGCAACATCATTTTGATACTACTCTTTTGAATATACTGTATTTTTTAATCTAGATCATATAGGGGTTTAGTTCAAGTATTCTCCTAGAAACTATGATTTAGACTACATGGCTGTATCACAAGCTCATTTTTTCAAGCTCCAATTCCCTCCTAAACTTGAAACAATAAAATTTTCCATTGCATCTAAGTAAAGAAAGTTATAGTAAACCCTTACCTGAAAACCAGAATATAAAATTAAGCTAATTAAGTGGTTAATGAATGTTTTGCCCATTTGGGACTAGAAAATGAGTAGTGAAATTGGAATATGAAGAAGGCTAAAGGAGCTATCAGTTGACAGCCTTGATAGCTAACAATCATAATAGTGACGTGCCAATTTGGTCTAAGCAGGGGTGTCAAACTCGCAAACTCATGTGACGTGTCGCAACGTATTGCGACTTTTTTTCCATTACCGGCAATGGGGTGAGCGCGGTTTCGCCATGACCCATCCGGCCCATGGGCCGGCAGTTTGACCCCCCTGGTCTAGAGGTTAAGGCATCAGGCTAGAAATCAGGAAACTTGTGAATTCTAGTTCTGCTTTAGGCATGAAAGCTGGCTGGGTGACTTTGGGCCAATCACACTCTCTTAGCCCAACTTACCTCACAGGATTGTTGTCATGAAAATTGGGGGAAGAGGGAGTATTAGTAGTATGTTCACCACCTTGAGATATTTATAAAACTAATAAAGGTGGAATAAAAATAAATAACCTGGCTACAGTATAATGCCTAAATCAGTTCAGTGTGGGAAAATATTGTCCATTACATATATATAAATACATAGCAGATCCAATAATAACATTATTGATTAGCTCTTGAAGACTATTCAGATGCATTTTGTGCAGTTAAAAAGCCATTTGCTGGATATTGTCCCAAAATGTCTTGCCTTACCCCAACTAAACAAATAATTTCTTGGAGAAATCATAGTATATCTGTAATCAAAATATAATATTACATTCCTACAGAAATAGTATGTGTAGTACAAAAATATTTTGTATATTGTAGTATTTCTAGTTTGATGGAGTGCTCTGCTTTTAACTAGTTTATTTCAAATAGTCTTTAATTCCTTCTTTTATATATTTTTTTCCCTACAAATCT